TGAAAGACTCCAGAGCCAGACTTGCCCAAGTTCAGGTCCCAGCTCCACCACTTACTAACCATGTGACTTTAGGCTGGTGACTTAACTTCTACGTGTTTCAGTTTTCTCATCTGTAAAATATAGGTAATAATAGTACCTACATGATAAGATTGTCATGAAGGTTCAATAAAACGCTCCTGGAATGTTATATGAGCTCAATTCATCCATTCATTCATTCAGTAAAAACATGTTCAGAGCCTGCCATGTGCCAAGCACTGTGCTTGGTGCTTAGAGTATCAGTGAACAAATCAAAGAATTTAGGGCATAAAGCAGCCTGGGGCAGAGGGTTTAGGGGGAAAAGAAGATAGCATAATAGAGTATGTTAGAAAATGAGAAGTGCTGGGGCTGGCAAGTGGCTTTGGTGGTTGGGGCACTGGACTCCCACATGGCCAACCGTGGTTCAAGTCCTGGACCTGGTGGCTTGCTTTCTCACTTTCCCTCTCTCTGTATGTGTGTCTCTCTTTGGTCAAATGACAATAAATGAATAAATAATAAAATTAAATAGACCTTAAAAAAGAAAATGGAAAGTGCTATATTAAAAAATTAGAGCATGATAAGGAGTAATGGGAGTGCTGGAGTGGTTGAAGTTGGCAGTGTTAAATAGAAGGATCAGGGTAGGCCTCAGTGAAAAGCTAAGATCTGAACAAAGATTTGAGGGAGGTGAAGAAATAAGATAACATGAGTATGTGTGGGAAGCACATTCAAGGCAAAGGGAACAGTTTCAGAAAATCTCCTCATGGTGGGAGATTGCCTGGCTATTCTCAGAACAAAAAGGCAGCCAGTGCTGCTGAAGAGGAACCATGAAAGGTGAACGGGGTAGAAGAGGTCAGAGAGGTACTGGGGCTGTGGGAGTGGGTGTAGGGGCTTCTCTACACAAGTCCTATAGGGCATTTTGCCTATTGCAAAGATTTGGCTTTTACTGTAAGTCAAATTGAGAGCCTTTGTAGGCTTTTGAAAAGAGTGGTAACATGATCTGACTTAATATTTTCTTTTTCGTTTGTTTGTTTTTTAATTTGCCACAGGGCATGTGTGCCTCCCCCTCCACCCCCCAGAGAGAGACAGACAGGAAGAGGGAGAGGGAAAGGGAGAAAGCACCTCCTATGAGGAATGGTTATGCCCCAATCCCTTCTCCTGCATTTCTCCCTTCTTTCAGGATTCTGGGTATACACACACACCTGGTGTGTTTTTCAACCCACCAGGTCTGGGACTCAAACCACACAGTCAGTTATGTGGGATCCAGCTCCCTTAAACTCCGGACCAAGGGCTGGACCCCGACTTAGTATTTTCGAATGGTTTCTCTAGATACTGTACTGAGAATAAATGGTGGGCAGGTATTGTGGTTGAATTGTGCCCCTCCAAAAGGTATGTTTAAGTCTTAACCCCCAGTACCTGTGAATATGACCATATTTAGAAACAGCTCGTTTACACCGTTGTAGGCAAGTTAGGATGAGCTCACATTGGATTAGGGTGGGCTCTACTCCAACAGCTGTCCTTATAAGAGGAGAGAGATTTGGGCACACAGGCACACAGAAGTCAGACAGTCCTCTGAAGACACACAGACAGCACTAATGCCATGTGAAAATAGGGGCAGAGATCGGAGTCATGAAACTGCAGCCACAGAAGGCCAAGGGTTGCTGGCAACCACCAGAACCTAGGAGAGACAGACACTTCTTCAGAGCCTCCAAAAGGAACCGACTCCAGATGACCTTCATTTCTTATTTGAAGCCTCCAGGAGTGTAAGAGATAAGTTTCTGTGGCTTTAAATCACCCAGTTTGTGATACTAGGTTACATAGCAGCCCGAGGAAGGTAACACAGGGAGCAACTGTCGAAGCAGCTAGGAGGCTCTTGCAGTTGTCTAGTCAAGAGATGATCAGGCTGTTAACAGAGGTGATGGTGAGACACTGTCAGATTCTGCGTACATTATGAAGGTAGAGTGAACACGTTTGCCGCTGTATAAGATGTGGGGGATGATAATAGCAAACATTTATATAGGATTTACTCTGCATCAAGCATTGTTCTAAGGATTTGAAAAATATTAACTCAGGCCATGGGGTGCAGCGGTACTATGCTGCTTGAGTGATGCTGAATCCCTAGGGAAGATCACAGGTTTTTGGACCCTGGTTGACTACACACACTGAGCACATATGCCCATGAGCCTGACTGGCTGAGAAGGTGGGGAGGGTGAGGACAGGAGTCAGCATGGGACCCTGTTGAGGGTGCTTGTCTCTCTCCTTTCTAAAACCTGAAAACTACTTTAACTTGGTCTGAGGTGTATTCCATGTTGGGTAAGTTCTCTTTTTTTTTTTTTTGAGAGATTTTCACTGTAGGGCGCGTGCGCTCACCAGACAGACAGAGAGAGACATAGAGACAGAAAGCGAGAAATCACCCCCCAGGGGGGATGGTCACGCCGCAATCCCTTCTCCTCCATTCTCCTCTCGGGATCTTGGGCACGCACGCACACGCGCCCGGCGTGAGTTTTAAGCCACCGGGTCCGGGACACGAACCGCGGTCGACTACATGGGAATCCAGCGACATAGCCATTACGCTAACTGCTGGTTCAGGGGTTAGTTCTCTTTATAAGCTAAATGATGTATAGTGATTAAATGGATAACAAAATTTACAAAATACATGAACTCACTTAATCTTCACAACACTCTTATGAACTAGGCACAATTGTTATTTCAAATGTATAAGTGAGGAAATAGAGGCACAGAGCAATAAAGAAGTATTTTTTTATTATATTACTAAGAGACCTTACATCAAACAAAAACAAATGGAACTCTTTCAAAGTAATTAAAACATAGATTATAATGGCAAGACAATTTGGAGACTTAATATCAAGGAAGGAAGTTTCGTCATAATTGCACAAACTAATTCTGACAGAGTCTATAATAAAACATACATCAACATGGGGCCTCTTCCTACTCCAACCCATGTTGACTTTGGTTTTCTAAAGCAGAAAAAGGAGACTGAGAAGTAGGCCTCAGGGCACCTGAAGACAACCTTGCCAGCTCCCAAACACCTGTCAGATCTGGTTCCCAAGAAATTCTGAAGATTGGAAAGGTATGCTGGTATTCTTCCTCAGTCACTCCCTCGCTATGCCCCGATAAATTAGACTGTCATTTTTAAAATGCGCATAAATCTCCTTTTACCTGAGATCCCAGAGTCAATATTTCCTTCTGCCCTCATGCTTCCTAGAATACAGTAGCTTTCCTAAGACTTGCTCTTCTTACTGTTTCAGACACCCCACTGTTTCAGGCCCCACAGCTCTCGCCAGGTCTATCCTGGTGACCAAAGAATCAGTACTGGGCAACCAGGCTAATCAAAGTCTGAGTCCATTTGTTTATTCAACAAAATCCCAGCTTGAAGTATGTGACATGATAAAAAAAATTTGTCTCCCAACCAAGCCCTGGAAGTTGTGAGCGACCTTTGAAGAATGAAGAGAGGAAACAACCTTACACTACTAGGAGTGAGGACCTAGGTCCTAGTTGCTGACAATAAGGATTTGGGGTGTTTTTTTTTTAAAAGGTTTTATTTTATTTTATTTATTTATTTATTTATTTATTTATTTATTTATTTATCTGCATTCACTGGAGAGCGACAGAAAGAGAGAAGGAAAGTGAGAAATCACCCCGGACGGGAGATGATCATGCTGCAATCCCTTCTCCTCCATTCTTCTCCTGGGATTTTGGGCACACACGCACATGTGCCCCTCCTGATTTTCTAGCTATTGGTTTGGGACTAGCTGTTAAGATACGTAGGAGCCCAGACCTTAACCGCCAGACCACCCGCTGGCCCCGACTAT